AAGAAAAACAGCTTTGTCTGGGATTCGAACCCACGACAAAAGAATCGAAAAAGATTGGGACGATTCTCCCGAGACATTCTGTGAAGCTGAGRCGKCGAATCGATTTACATTCCGGTTAGAGATTTCGGCTCTTCCATGCTATCCCGATAATTGGTCCTAACTTCGCGCTAACTAAAAAGCCAGTGAGGGAGAAGCTATCCGGCCCCTAGACACTGATGGATAACCMCTTGCACTAACTAGGCAACTATCGAAAGTATAATGTCAAATTGGGGTAGTCTATTCGGCGAAAGTGYCAAGTGGTCTATTRTTATGTAAATGAGCGTGGTCCAGTGGCGCAACTCGCTAAGGCGCTATTCTTCGATCCAGAGGACCCGGTATTGACCGGGATCGAATTMATTCAGGCTATTTATTTCTTTTGTTTTTTCCTCTYCCTGTTATTTCTTTTTCTTTTTTTTTACTGTTTTTATCAAATACAAGACTTCGAATTTGTACCAATTTTCCTTGCATGAAATTTTAAATAAATGCGTTATAAATAATAACGTTTGACTCTTGTTCTTGGGCTGCCTGTACGTTCTGCTTTATGGGTCCTGGGTACTAAATAGAGGCTCCGGYCAATTGACCCCCCTCTAGGGACCATTCCCCACATGTTCTCTCTCTTTGCGATCTTCGAAACAGAATGGTGAGTGAGAGAGATAAGGCCATTATATGAARTATATCTCACTTATTTTGAGACATTTTCGAAAAAMAATTACACACAATTATAATTTRATATCTTAACAGTAGATGTGAGCAAAAAATGATACGATTTGAAATGAAATAAGTTTGTTTTTAGCTCAATAAAAATGTCACRTGTTTGACTAAAATTCTATCGTGGATCTTGCTATTCGTAAAGTTTGGTTAGTGTGAAGATAAAAATACGTATTGATATCTCWAGATTACAGTTATTGACTTGCCGTAAATGGCCTAAATTTCCTTGGGGTATAGATTATAGAAATATATAGCTTTTTGTGTGATGTTATTCGAGTTTTRCCAGCAAAATCTGTTTGTCTGGACATAGGTTTGTTCATTTGATGTGACTATATCACTCTTTTCCTTGTTKTATCTAGCCACCCAAGAAGGACCCTAAGAAGGACGCTAAAAAGCCCCAGAAGTCTGCTAAACCAGCAGGATCTGGTGGTGGAAAAGCCAAAAAGAAGGCAAGTTTAGTCTATGTTCTTTTGTATTAACCCTATAAGTTAAGCTTAATTCCACGACATCTTGATTCCACACAAAATGTTGAAAGGGATTGTATGATATACAAGGTGTATTGCYAGTTTTTGACTATGTCACCCTAGCAGTTGACAACATTCACAAGCTTGATTGTTGTCAATGAATGTCAGTGTATTATAGTAAATTCAGTCACTAAAATGATCAYGTTGGACAGAACCCCTAATCATCTTGGCTTTATAAACTTTAGAATATCCCGTTACTTTATGAATATCATTAGATTTATTGAATTCTGTGTCGTTCTTAAAAGAGTCAGCATGCAAATTTCAATTGTGCCAGAAAGTGACAGGGTATTCTAATGTCACTCCGATCAAGAAAATAACTAATTCACTGAATTCAGGTCGTTAATATAACGAACGATTCTCGGGCGTCAATATTCTGCTATGAAGTTTTTATACTTCATTTTTTTTAATTTTTGTCCAGTCAAAACTGGAACATGTCCGGTCAAAATTGTATTTGAACGGTCATCATGTCTGGTCACTGACCGGCCGTTATTTTGAGCCCTGGTTTACACAATCAAACAAATTTCTCTTACCATTGCTTGCATTGCTATGCAACCAGTCAAGATAAAGCTTCACAAATGCAGTCAGCAGTAAACTGCTTTTGATCAAATAAATTGYTGTGGTGTCATCTTGTGGCTTATTTGAAAAGTTTGATTGCTAGCCATCTATCACTAATAGTCTCCTTCACGGTTCCCCGTGCCATCTTGAAAGGTAGATGTGCCTTAACATCGAAGCGAGACAACTGTTGAGCATGCAATGATAGATACCTGTGAATAACTGTCTGTAGCTGTGAAAGAAGGTTTCTATCATTGCATGCTCAACGGTTGTCTCGCTTTGATGCAAATGCACGGCTACCTTTCAAGATGGCACAGGTAACTGTGAAGGAGACTATTCTGTCACTACATTGTGTATCCTGTCTGGAATCACATAGCAATGTTCACCATAAAATCTTATGGCTGTTAGGGTATTCTCTAACTTACTATGACATGTTAAAATGGGGCTACAATAGGTTTTTAGTCACTATTTATATTCAGTTATTCATGTTATTATGAATCTGATTCCCTGCTTGTTCCAAAATGACTTCTCTCTTAGATATATAGCACACATGATTCAGCCACTTTTTTCTCTCCTTAAAATTCATTCTTTATAGCCACTGAGCCCATTCTCTTTGTTAGCTTAAAAAAGCAGGTCATTTACCATCATTTTGTCTTCTTTCAACAGAAGTGGTCCAAGGGAAAAGTCCGTGACAAGCTMAATAACTTGGTGCTCTTTGACAAAGCAACTTATGATAAACTATACAAAGAGGTGCCCAGCTACAGGCTTATCACCCCATCAGTTGTCTCTGAGAGACTCAAGATCCGTGGCTCRCTTGCAAGACGTGCACTCATAGAATTAAAGAGCAAGGGTCTTATCAAGGAAGTGTCTAAACATCATGCACAGCTCATTTATACAAGGGCCACCAAGGGCGARGGTGACGCCGAGTAATCTGTGATGGAGAGTTAATCTAATAAAACAAATTTTCAATTAAGAATCTCTTGGTGTACTCTTTTTTTCTCTAAAAGCTGTCAATCCTGTGTGTTGTAATGAACACACTGAACAATAATGTTCAATATCACATCTTCATATTTGCAAAGATTGATGAGTAGACTCAAATGAGCTCAAGAGTGAAGAGCAGACTTCCCATCAATCCCTTTTTTGCAGTAATCATCATGCCATGGCATATAATTATGAATAACATCAACAGTTTTAAAATGTTAAGAATTTCTTGTACACAGACATTTTTAAATGTTTAGTGAATTGCAGTTTCTCAAGGGATGATCCAGCTGGTGGGTGCAGGGGGTGCGCTACCTCTCCTGAGAGCTGTTTTCTTCAATACTTTACTTATTTTGTATTTTCATGGTAATAATTTTTGTGGGGTGTACCCTTTACTGTGGGCCCCGTACCCATTCTTGATCTACACTGTACCCCTGAATCAGCAGTGGATGATGCTTTGAGATGATATCAGTACTGACCTCATCAACACTACATTTCAATTTTCACGTGATAATTAGGTCAGCGTGACGGCAAAATGCTTTGTGYTCTTYTTTATTTCAAACTTTTTCAAAAGGTCTGTCAAGGCGGGTTTGTGACTCGCGCTGCATGATGGATTATCTTTGTATTTGAGCATGCGCAATACGTCACCTTTGCAAGTCCAAAAATGCAAAATGGCCACTTACCATGAAAAGACGTAAGAATAAGGGATTTGCTCGGCGCCGGCAGCTCAAATAAGCCATGACTGGCAACAAAACGATTGAGAAATGTTTTGAGGAAGCGGAGGAAACCGGTTTGCTCTATTTGAGCAGTAAAGGACTACGCGATTTCCCTGATGTTGCGAACGATTGTGAGCTGATAGATGTCATCGAAGCAGGTAAACTTGTAGTCCCACCTTCCCAAAAAGCTGTTGACTAAATATTGTTAAAAAATCATAAAGCTAAGGGCTAATCTGTGGGAATTTTCTTTTTATTTAGATCTATCKAGGAATCGTTTTGCCGAATTTCCTATAGAAATATGCGATTTTATTATGCTGGAGAGGTTGGACTTGTACCACAACGCCATCAGAAATATTCCTGAGCTTCACCCTCAATTAAAATGGCTTACAATGCTTAATTTACGGTGAGTTATGGAAGTTTGTATACTACACTATAACTGAACAAATCCACAATAAATAAATGTAGGTAAAACTGCCATTGTTCCTAAATTTTTATCCAAGCTTATTCCGAAGTCTTTGAAACGCGCCACTCAGTCGGTGCTGTTGTCTAAATAAATTATAGTTTGTATTTGTCTTGGCATATTTATTTTTCTGATTGTAGAAGATAATTYTTTCCTGGATTTGAGTCACTTGTGTGAATCCAAAGTGTACGAATTGCAAGAAATTTTAAAGRAATTTTGTGATATTTCGCATCTAAAAAAAGACAATTTACACCCACTCTCCATCTGTTGTTTTAGGACTTCTAATGATGTCTTTGCTCGGAAAGACTTCTAAAATAATAATGTATCCAAACAAGCCTAAATGAAAGGAGAAAGCGTACTTTCACTTTAATCTCAAAGAGAAGATTACAGTTTCCCATACATTACAGTAAAAGTGAAAGAATTTTCGAAAGGTTTCAGCGTTCTCAACTAATCTTCTAAGTTGATTGAGCTCCTGTCCTTCTTAAAAATTCATTGTTACACTTAAAAATTTTCGATTTCACCTCAGTTCCGAATTTCTTTCTATTTTGTTGGTTTTAAATTTCGGAAGGAACCTAAGTAGGGTCAGTAGAAGTTATCGACGTGGGCCGTGCTCGGTTTTGACACACGCAGACACGCTTCCGGGTCATCTCAAACATATACTTCCATGCTGGTAAGTCTGACAGAAGTTGATTTTTTGAGAAATCATCATTATTTCTGTATGGCGATTGACTAACTCTAACTCAAGTTTGAACTCTAGTTCCGATTTGTGTTTAATATATATAGTTTTCACAATTTTAAAGATTATTTATTTTGAGCAATTTACAAAATTTACTTACATGTTGTAAATATTGGAGTTACATATAACAAAATTTTAATACTGCACTTGAATATGATATACCCTKTATGAGTAAAAAAAAGGAAAATTACCATAAGGCCTGCGTTAAATAACAGATACCAATCAGTGGTTTTATAGAACTGACTTTAAGACAYAACTTCTGTCGTATCAATATTGAAGAAAATGCTTGAGTTATAAAATGTTAATAACAATATCTTTCCAGCACTATTCATGAGGGTTTTAGTGGTCGTTTTAATCCTTTATGAAAAGTTTTCATGATTAATGTCATGATAATAATAATATCCAAACTGAAATAAAATTTTTGTCATATGAATATATTATGAGAGCAGTATGATACTGGTTTTCCATTATAGACATTGTAATTGATAAGCATTTATTTTATGGATTCAAATGCCGAAACCAGTTATTAATATCATCTTGTATCATTCACTGTCTAATTTCCAATGATTTCTTGTTCTTATTGCAGACGAAAYCAAGTGTGTAGTCTACCAATAAGCATTGGACGTTTACCATTACGTGTTCTAAATTTAAGCAATAATAAACTTACTTCGCTTCCAGTAGAGATAGGATATCTGACTTTATTACAAGATTTAGTAAGTAAACTGATGTTTTTGTTGTTGTGTTATTATTATTTTATTATTAATTTACAACCGTAGATATAATTTTTGTTGTTGTTAATTGTTTATGTTTGGATTTTTTAAGCATTTTTGTATTTTGTTATCCAGGATTTAAGTTGTAATGAATTATCACGTCTTCCAAGCACAATGGGAGAAATGATATCTTTAAAAGAATTAAAYGTACGGAGGAATCAACTTCAGGTTCTTCCCGATGGTAAGGAAAAATCCATTCAAATCAAACATCAAGAACATTAAATGGATACCCATCATTACTAGTGGAGAAGGGTTTTATGATCTACTAGATAGAACTTGTTGTTAAACCATAAAATGTATATTTAATATGTCAGTTTTGCGAGCTGCAAAAGAAGCAAATTATTTTCACATAAATAATGTATACACCTATAGCCATAGAATGATCTAGATACAATTGAAAGACTACAGAACATCTTTAGTACTAGTAAGAACTGGACCAGTATCTTTTTAATCAAATTACTAGGTGACTTTTTACTACTTAGTAGCAAGCAAAACCATGAGACWATGGAGACTTGTACTTGTATTAGATAGATTAGCCAACAGATCCTAATACTCATACTCTTCATTTGTTTTCAGAATTAAGCAAATTAAAATTGGTAAAGTTAGATTTCTCATGTAACAGAGTATCAGTCATCCCACCAGCTTATAGACTTATAACAACGTTATCATGCTTGGAGTTGTCCCACAATCCATTGATATCACCCCCAGCACATGTAAGTATAACACATTATACAACCTTGGTGAACAGTCCATATTATAACTGTGATAACCAATAGGCCATTTGCATTATGGCATAACTTTAYTACAACTACCAGAGAGCCTTGCGCATTTTCATTGTTATTCAGATTTTGAATCCCCTTGGAGATTAATAAAACAATTGCCACTAATTACATTACAAAAGAAAGTTGTCATTGATGGTACATATAGTAATGTTCATGAAATTAGTCATGACATTATTTAAATGTTTTTTTATCGTAGTAAAAAATATTGATTTTGTGTGATTTTGTTTCTTAAAGGTGTGTATAAAAGGTAGACAGCATATATTCAAGTTTTTGAGTGTCGTTGCACAACAAGACAAAGTAAGTGGAAAATGCTTTTATATTAGATTTAAAATCAGATAATCTCTAGATTTCCTTATTAACCTTCATCAATTATGTATTCCTTAACAGAAAAGGACTTTGCTAGATAGAGATGTTAGAAAACTCCCTTACACTAGAAAAGGATCATCTTTAAGGTATAATTTCCACCCAGATATAATGATTTTAAGATCTCTTTATATTTCTCCCTCTGAAGTGTCACTAAGTCACGATGCTCCCACAGTCGTTGTTGCTATCCTTCATGCTTAGTTAACTTAAATTCACTCAGAAATGTCTTAATCATATTATTTTCTAGTATTTTCCTACAAGCCACAAAAACTGTTGTTGTTTGATTATTTACTCAAGTGTACACACATCTGGAAACATCTGTTCATATTACTATGGATAATAAGTATTTTATTGTACATTTATTGAAATAAATAGAAAGTTAAATTGTGCACATTTTTGTTTTAGTCTTAAAGAAGAGTATCTGGGCATTGATTCTGATCTGCTTTCTAATGAAAAAGTTAAAAGAACAGTTTCCCTTGATATGTCAGGGGTTGGAATGTCATTTATGAGACAAGTAAGACTTTGTTCTGTGTATTTAATTGATAAAGTGATATTTATGTTAGACAATGAGTACTATATTAATAGCATTTTAAGTTTAGGCAATGATTTAATGGATTAATGTCAAAATTTGTGAATATACAATATATTATAAATACTGTGTACTATAAAGAATGTACTGTATATACTGTAAAGAATGCTTTTATGTATATCGTATATCTAGAATGAAGAAAAAGATGTATACAGACCAAGTTCTTTACGAGAGCGYGACAAACAAAGGGTGCCATTATCCAATGTTTTTGAAACTGAAGAAAAGAGAAGAGAAATACAGAAAGAAATTGAGAGAGCTCAGCGTTTATTATCAGAGACCATAGACCAGCATGAAGCTGGCAGTCAGCCGGATACTGAAGTTGATGAAGGAGAAGAACTACAAAAGGTAGGTGGATTGTGGGATT